TATCTAGCTATCTAGCTATCTAGCTAGCTATCTATCTATCTATCAATCTATCTATCTATCTATCTATCTATCTATCTATGTATCTATCTATCTATCTATCTATCTATCTATCTATCTATCTATGCATGTCTCTATCTCTCTATCTCCCTATCTCTCTCTCTCTCTACATCTTTCTCTCTCTCCATCTCTCTACCTACCTGCCTGTCTGCCTACCTACCTACCTACCTACCTACCTACCTACCTACCTACCTACCTTCCTACCCACCTATCTGTCTGTCTACCCATCTACTTATCCATGCATGCATCCATCCATCGGTCTATCTACCTAGGCATGTGCCTGTCTGTCTGCCTGCCTGTCTGTCTACCTACCTGTCCATTTCCATCTCCGTATGTAGCCACACCAGAACGCACATCTGCAGACACATGACCCCCTCTTATTGAACACTGAGGAGGGTTGCAAGTGGTGATCCTTTACAAACCCTGAACCCTGAGCACCTTTCCCAAGATCCCTAAACCGCACCCTACCCAAACCTCATAAGAACCCGAAACGAACCGTGGAAGAACCCAATAAGAACCCCTTCTTCCCCAGACCAAAGCAGTGAAAACCCGTCGGCTGCCAGGGCCAGCGAGCTGCCGAGAGCCATTGCGAACTCTTCGCTGCTTCCGATCTTGGCCGCTTTGGCTTCAATGAGGAGTTGCTGTAGTGAATGGGAGAATGGGATATGAGACTTCAATGAGGGGTTGCTGTAGTGAATGGAAGAATGGGATATGAGACTTCAATGAGGGGTTGCTGTAGTGAATGGGAGAATGGGATATGAGACTTCAATGAGGGGTTGCTATAGTGGCTACTAGAATGGGATTATGAGATTCCGGATCCAAGATTGAGGGTTCAGGGTGGCTTTCCTTCCCCGGCATCCGAGCGTTCGGATAGCACAAAGGATCCGTGAATGTTCTTGCATGAGCCCGCGCGTGGCGTGGAGTGAGAGCTGTGGTGGTTTCGTCAGGTGGCTTCACACTCAGCCGTGCGTGCGCAATATCCAGCCTTGGCTCAGGCAGGTTGGGCCGGTTCACGTCATCCTTATCTGCTCAGTTGTGTTTCTGTGATGCCGCGATGCAATGTTAGCCATGGTGGTGTGTTCTATGTAATAACCCTTCACGTAGATGTCATACCGACATGAAGCAGCATGATATCGAGTGCTTTTCAAGTCGCGAACCTTCAGTTGCTTCCAAGCCCTGACCATCCCATTACAAGTGGGAATCTATGGTGTTAGGCCAGAATTCTCGTGCTGGTTACAGGCGGCAGTGCCGCTGCTGTGTGCAGCCGCGCCTCGGGTGCCTTTGCGGACACAGCCGCCTCCAGGGCAAGCAGACAGCTCCTCGGAGGTGGGAAGGCTGCTAGATCTCAAGCTTGAGAGCTACTCACTAGTCACATATGCTGCAAGTCTGGGCGATGTGGATGCCCTTGTCAGAGAGAGAAGCTTTCAAACACATGTCACCGACACGGGCAGGCCGAGGCAGAGATCGACGAACCACTGCACGAGCCTGCTGTCAAATCCTCAGAGCCTCATGTCAGGTAGGTACTTAGGGTTCAGGCCTCTGGGTTTCGAGTTAAAGTAGGAGGGTTTAGGGTTTACTTTTAGCTTAAATGTGCTCTCCTCAGGTCATTTTCGAGGCAGTGGAGGACCTGCTTTCGGCGTCGACGTCTCCAGACAGCTTGCTCCTACTCTGCAGGGGAGAGGGGATGCTTGAAGCCCTTCGGCCCATCGGTAGCCAAATTCGATGTTCGAAATCCTCAGCCCGCCAAGACCAAACTTGATTCCGATACGCCCATGCACGCCCATGAACTCGATGTCATGTAGCAGTCCGCACGCCCTGCCAGAAGGCTTCCCTATGCGCTGCTGCCGACCTTCCTACCGCCAGAGACGGGCCTCGGCGTGAGGCACCACGGCATGCTTCTGGCTGGGGCCGGAGGCGCCCTCGAGGCCGTCCCGAAAAGTTTCAAATCCTCAGGCTTCAGTGTCGGGCTGACTAGAGTTCCGTGGGGTTTGGGAGTTTTAGAATTTCAGGCAGTGGCGATTCCTAGGCAGGGTGTTTAGGTAGCCGGCAGGTACAGAATCCCGACAACCCAGTAAAAGAGGAAGCCTGAAACACTACAGACTTTAGAAGCCCCCTAAACCCGGAACACTGGATCCTAAGCCGCCTTTACAAAGAAGACCCCCGAGCTGCAACCCCAGAGGAGTGGGACTTGGATGCGGGGCTCCGTCTGGATCGCCTTTTTGCCTCGGGCGGGGAGGCGCCTTGCCGGGTGTCGCTTCGCTTCCCGGCTTTTGCGGTCATAGCGCTTCGAGGCTTCGGGGCCCTTGGAACTGAACCTCTGTGAGACTTGTTTGAGAAAGGATGGTCTGAGAAAAGATGGGAGGAAGGAGGAAGACACTGACGGTTTCAGCTGATCAAAGATTTCGAATCAGGAGCCTGGAGCCTTTCACGTGGTGAGCCTGATGGCGCCTGGCTTCTCGGCCACCCAGGGAGCTCCGCACGAGGCCCGGGCGGTGAGAGTTTGGGTGGCAAGCAGGGATATAGCCGGATGCAGTGCGTCGTTGCTGTCGTCGGCCTCATACCATGCTCCTCCATCGTCATCCTCATCCTCATCCTCA